ACACATACTCACACACTCTCTCACTCTTTCTCTGTCTCTCTCTCTTTCCCTCTCATTCCCCCCACCCTTAGACATGCTTGAAATTGCTCTGTATTTCTTTACTACAGTCTGCTCAGTGTTACAAATTTTCACATAGTGCTTTAGGTTCATAAAAAAAATGGTCCAAAAAAAATTGGTCCAACAAATAATCATTTGTTTCCAAAAATTAGTAAGCTATGAGATAAGATACAAGATATATTGAAACCATTGCTTTCCTATCAGTACATCTGTTTCTAAATCTTTTTTATGGTGCACACTATCTTATGAATGTATGATAAAATTAAAATTCCCTGTTGATGATAATTTATTTTTTAGTTTTCACTGGTACAGTAGTCCAGTTAACATGTTTATTCTTTACACATTGTTCAGGTTCAGATTGTCTCTAATATTTGTTCGAAGTACAAATTCTTAGTAAAATTGTGGGTCACAGGCTGAGGGATTTACATTTTAATAAGTAGTTAGGCCAGATGTTTCTGCAACCTTTTTAAGAAATAATTTTGGCTTTCAATATTCTCATCATGCAAACAATAATAATTTCTTCATTTCAAGTGCATGGTCCTTTGTGGTTTCCAAGAACATTTTTGCATTTATCTGGTACTCCTTTGTGATTAATTTTTTAATTATCTTTTTTATTTTAATTTTTGGTTTTGGAGGCCATACCCAGCTACGCTCAGAGCTCACTCCTTGCTCTGCACTCAGGGTTCATGTGGGGTGCCTAGAATTGAACCTCTGTCAGCTATGTGATAGCACAGCCTACTGTACTGTCTCCCCAGCCCCTGAACATTGATTATTATCCTTACTTCTGCATGTGAAGAACTGAGGCACAAAGAAAAAGGTACTTAAATTCTTAGAATGTATTCAGCAGCATCTTTGCCAAACTTCCAAAGGACTAAGGATGAAAATATGAAATAGGATATGAGGTTAGTGTTTTAAATGTATTGATATTGACAAATCCATGAGCCACAGGAAATGCACCAAAATAGCCGGCCATGGGGCCCACCACACTTCAAGTCAGTGCCTCAAGAATAGCTTTTTTTTGACAGCTTTTGTGTGTTATGGCCTTGGGGAAAAGAGGTGATTCAGAGTCCCTGTGTGTTAAAACTATTCATTAGATTTGATCTAAAAATTACTTTAAGTCCTCACCATCAGCACTGTTATCCCTGCATTTATCATCACATAGCATAGATCCTTTTATTAGGTGATTTCTTCCTCCGATTTATCTTCTTTCCTGTTCTCTTTATCCCAGGCTAAGACTAAACATTCTTTCCCTCATTTTTCTCCATTCTAATTTCTGTATGTACTGAACTCAACCCGTAGACATTTCTTGGAACAACTTTTTATTTTCTCCCTCCTGTTTGCGATTCCTTTTTACTCATAAATCACAAGGTGTCTATAAAATTCATGTGATTGTTTTTATTTTATGATTAAAGAAATCAATTCAAAGAAAATTCATGTGACTTGCTTCAAATGTAAGCCAAAGTCAGAGTTCAAATTATTCTTTACTATCCATTAGTTCCTGCTTCATTACCAGAAGTCTCCAAGTTACAAAACAGGTTGTGTTCCAAAAATTCATTTGTAAGTCAGTTATTTGGCAGTTGAAATGCATTTTACCACAGTGGGGGGAAAATGTTATAAATGGTGAGTAAGTCCTTTGGCTGGCCTACAAAAATCTGTTTAACTCTTATGTAACTCTAAAATGCTGCATTTGCAATAAAAATAAAGGAGGGTGATCATTGTAATTCTATTTGGAAAGAAAAAGGAAAGCTATTTTCTGGAGGAAAAGAAGATTCAATTAAAAGATAGGGATGCCAATGAAATTGGGATTTCAGGACACTTGAAAGGCATTAGACATTGATAACAGTCTCTCTGAAGCCCAGTTTTACTTGATACTCTAAGGTTTTGTTGTTAGCCCACCTGAACAACTATGATTTGAATTGCTTATTAAATACCTACCCCAAAGCAGAGAGGATATCAAGCAACCTGGGAATACAAATAAGTCAGCAAAGCAACAAAATAAAAAACCCATTTCCTTCTTCCCTCCTCTTGGTGGTAGGGTGGGAAAGAGGTCTTTTTGTTCCCATGAAGAGGCAGAGGTAGCCTCCACGCAGACTGTAGGGAAGGCTTAGGAACAGAGGTTAGGGGGCATTGAGTATGTACCTCCTGCAGTTCCTGTCTTAAGGTGTTCATTTTGCCTCTCACTGCTTGAGTTCTTTCCAGAAAGCCTTAACTAATGTGTATAGATGGCCCAAAGACTTATTCTGGCACCTTTAATAAAAGACACTTAAGAACAGCTATACTATAGTTTTAGACTTTGCTGAAAATATCATATGTACAACTCCAGGGAAGTTTAAGCAAGTAAATCTTCTTGCTAAGATGACACATTAAGAAAATAATGGAGGAGCCAGAGAGAGTGCAGGGGTAAAGGTATTTGTATATGAGACTGACCAATTAGATCCCAGCACTGCATGGTCCCCTGAGCACCACTGGGAATGACACCACAGTGTAGCTCTGAGTAGCCCCTGAGCATTGTTAAGTATGGCCTCCAAACGGGGAGGAAGAGAGTGAGGGAGGAAATGAGGGACAGAAGGAAGGGAGGGAGGGAGGGAGGGAGGGAGGGAGGAAGGAAGGAAGGAAGGAAGGAAGGAAGGAAGGAAGGAAGGAAGGAAGGAAGGAAGGAGAAAGAGAGAGAGGTGGAGAGAGATAAGAAGAGAGACTGAGAGAGAGAAAACCTAACAGACTGAATACAAGTTTGCATGCAGAGGCCAGGATTCAGTCAAAGCTCTGCATGGTCCCCAGAGCACCACCAGTTTTGGTCTAAAAGTCAAAAGAGAAAAGAAAGAGATGGAGGGCTAGGATGTGACTCAAGTGGTAGAGCACATGCTTTCCATATGCCAGGCCCCAGGTATCATATGCTCCTCCCAGCACCACAATAGGTGTGGCTCCTGTGACACTGTGAGGGTGACAGAGTGTGGGTGGGTGGGGAGGGACCAAAATAGTAGAAAGTGATGGAAGGAAGATTAGAATTTGTGCTTTTTATCTCTTGGATTAGATTAGGGCTCTTGCCAATATGAATGACCCCATCTACTTGGATAATACATGTATATATTTATTGTTTGTTGCTTTGTGTTGGGAATATTGAATCTTTACACTCCAGGAATGATTTAGTGAAGGGAAAAGCAACTGTATCTGCCACTATTAAAATTCCCTCTCAGTGGTCTCTATGAAAGGAAATTTAGGATAGGCCAATTTAAAAAGTTATTAAGTCTGAAGAAAGAATGAACATCCACCTGATTGTATTTGTGCTTCAATGGCTATGCCTCCATTGAGGTGGTTTGTAGAAGAATATTTTACTGTCCATATTAGTTTTTCTTCTTATAATATTGATATTTTTATAACTGAATTGTATGTGTGCTTGAAGCCTTTACCTGAAATGTAAATTAATAATATTAAATTTGCATCATAGTACAACAAATATCTTCTTGGTATCCATATTCAGGTTAAACTTAAGGCATTCTGTCAGGCTTTGCTCAGAAAATGTTTGTTAGCTCATTTATTTATTGGGTGAAATTTTGTCTTGGACTCTTCCTCAGTAGGGACTCAGACTGGAAAGATCCTTTCTCCTGGCTACCTGTGTGTGTGCCAGAGGTATGGGGAGTTGGGGTTTGGAAGACTAGAGAGAGATTTCTCCAGAAGTTGTACCACTTACTTAGAAGAGTACAGTGCCAGAAGAGTTCGTGAACCAATTCACAGTGTCAGTTTTAGCTTGTTGACTTTCATATATAGGTTAAACAGACCAGTAGCATTTAATGACTACTTTGCCTATTGCAAATTCACAGCTATGGTGTGTGTGTGTGTGTGTGTGTGTGTGTGTGTGTGTGTGTGTGTGTGTGCTCAGAGGTTGGTGAGTAGGCAAGAGAGAAAAACAATGCTTTTGTTTGTGGACTACTGGTCATTTGCTACTGGTCATTTGAGCATGTAAGGGTTTTCTTTTACGTTGAAGACCTTGGACCCTTTGATGGAAGAGAGTCTGGCATACCAATCTGTTTTGAAGCACATTCCATCCATAGTGTTAACTTTTCTCCTGTGAAAGCATTGATGCCTCTGACACTTAACATGCAGAACAATAATCTCATGGCAACTTCCGCTGCGTATTTGCCATTATGGTTTCAGTGTTCTGTTCATGGGAATGAAGCTTTCATGTTTCATACTTGGATTGTCACAGTTCTTAATTTATCCAAATTGTTTTTATGCTTTGTTCACTATTATTTTAAGACCTAGTGACATAGAGGAAGTATCATGTATTTCTGAGGCTTTTCTAAGGAATTTTATCTAAAGTTTAGTCAAATTCTTTTAACCTCTACGACACACTTCCTACATACAGAGTGGTTCTCCATTTTGCCCATCAGCCCTGCAGTCATACCACTTCAGGCATGATAGTATTGAAAAGTGGAAGGATGACATAGTATTGGTATTGGTATCCTCTCTCTCTCTCTCTCTCTCTCTCTCTCTCTCTCTTCTTCCTCTCCCTAAATCCCATCCTAAAATGTTCATTTTTTTATTGATACTTGCATATCTGGAAAAGAGGGATGGGGGAGAAGAAAGACAGTGGGAGTAGAGGTGAGGCAGAGGGGATGTAGTCAGGAAGGTCTTCAGATTCACAAAGTAGCTGCAAGTAAAGAATACTGGTGTGTTGCATAGAGCTTTTGAAAATGTCTTTCCTGGAGCTGGAGAGATTGTGAGTGAGCAGGGCCTTGCACACAGCCTAGCAGTGTTCTATCCCCTGCACCCCAGAGGTTCTGCTAGCCCACCAGGAGTGATCTCTGAGCACAGAGCCAGGAGTAAGCTCAGAGCACCACCTGATGTGGCCCAAAAGCAAAACAAAATAATAAAAACAAACGTCTTTTCTGAATAGTCACTCGCCTTCCTATAATTGAATGATTTCCTATCATTTTCTTTCGTAGGGTCAAGACCTTGGAGCATGGCTATGAGCAATGGAAACAACGACTTTGTGGTTGTTAGCAATGGCAGCATTACAACCAGTGCTACCAGCCCTGGGCCTCTCACCCCCTGTGACGGAGACCTCACATCCCAGCAGCTCACATCCAAAGAAACACCAAGAGCAAAAGTGAGTCCAAATGGATGCCTGCAAGTTAATGGCACCGTTAAGTCCTCCTTCCTGCCTTTAGACAACCAAAGAACACCTCAGATGTTATCCCAGTGCTGCCATCCTTGCCCATACCATCACCCTTTGACTAGCCATACCAGTCATCAAGAGTGCCATCCTGAGTCTGGTTCCGCAGCACCTTCTGCTTTGGCCTCATGTTGCATGCAGCCACACCCAGAGTATTCCGCATCTCTTTGTCCAAATCATTCACCTGTTTATCAGACTCCGTGCTGTCTTCAGCCCTCTCCATCCTTCTGCCTACATCATCCGTGGCCTGACCATTTTCAGCATCAGCCTGTGCAGCAGCACATACCCAACATCAGGTGAGTGGTCCAAATGTTCTCTTGGCCTTTCACATTTAATTCATTCCATATGGATATGACTGTATGCATGTGTGCGTGTGTGCGTGTGTGCGTGTGTGCGTGTGTGCGTGTGTGTGTGTGTGTGTGTGTGTGTGTGTGTGTGTGTGTGTTTGTCCCGGAAGGAGAGGGGAGTATGTTGGAACAAGAAAAGTAGTGGAAATAGCTAAATTTATGGATTATGTGAAGCCCACCCAAATGCAGACAAGCTAACCTAACCTATCTGTTTCATTAACTTTTTAGGGACTGAGACTATCCATAAGATGTTAGGCATCCCTTCTAGGCCCAGTGATAAAAACATTCAGTAAAGGGCTTTGTTATGAGTAATTTATTTTTTACAGAAAGGGTATTTTTGTGTGATGATGTAGCCTAAACAGGAAGATAGCACAGCGGGTAGGGCATTTGCCTTGCATGCGGCTGACCCGGCCGACCCTGGTTCCATTCCTCTGCCCCTCTCGGAGAGCCCAGCAAGCTACTGAGAGTATCTCGCCCGCACGGCAAAGCCTGGCAAGCTACCCGTGACATATTCAATATGCCAAACACAGTAACAACAAAGTCTCACAATGGAGACGTTACTGGGCCTGCTCGAGAAAATCGATGAACAATGGGAGGATAGTGATAGTATCCTAAATAGGAGTCTTTTATTTACTGTTACTGACAGTGATAAACCTTTAAGAAAAGAAAAAAAACAGTTGATTTCATAGTTCTATGTTCACAATTTCTACTCTTGTGCATGGGTGAGTATGTAATATATTGAGAGCAGACGAAAGCAATAATTCCTCTCATAGCAAATGAAAACTGTAAATCTGTAACAGAAGACATTTGAAAAAATGGTAAAGCATTTTTAGGTCTGGTATTTTGAAAAATACTAGAAAAGTGTTATGTCATTGTCAGTTCTTCTCCCCATGTCAGCCCATCAATTCTCTCCTATTTACTTTTTAACTATATTTTCCATGTTCTCATATGTACTTCAGGTAGCAATGATAATATAGTTTATTACATACTGGGCACATTGTAGAGACTTAAGAATTACCTCACATTTTGAGGTAATAAAAATACTTTAAATTAACTATAAGAACATTCTTTCTCTTTTCAGTGTATAATTTGCATTCAAAGAAACACATGTATCTTACCCAGTTTTGACAAAACTGCACCTGGATTCATCAGACAGGACATTCTGTTTTTAAGTCTCCTAGAAAGTTTTGTAACCCTGCTTCTGAGTCATTCCTTCTTTTCACCAGAAGCAGTTTGTGAGTTCTGTCCCCATTTTTGTCTGCTCAAAACTTCATGTAAATGGAAACAGCATTTTTACTCAGTATGCATTTTTGAGACTCCTTTGATCACTTTCTTTATTAATTTTCCTTTTCAGTGCCAAATAGCAATGCATTGTATTGAAGAGTCACTTCAAACTTGTAACTATAAAATAAAACATGGAAATATTCATGTGCAGTGTGGTGACCATAGTTAATAATAAATGCCATATTGTATGCTTGAAAATTGCTAAAAGAGCATATCTTAAAAGTTCTCATAACAGGAAAGAGCTTGAAAGAGCTATGTCTGATAATGTTTGTTAACTCAACTTGTGGTGATCATACTATTGACTCATTTTATTGCACATCCAAAATTAATATATTTTAAATGTCATTCAGATTATAACAGCAACAAAAAAAAGAGGCAGGTCCAGACAGGAATCAAGCCATAAATACTTTCCCCCCTCTATCAGGTGTTACATGCTGTTAAACTTTTCTGATTTTTGAAAAGAGATGAGAAATACTGACAAGAAGGTAGGGAGTGGGGAGAAGTCCCCAAGTCATGTCATTATAAAAACTGCAGCTTACCATTTCTAAATACACTTTCTGTATCAGAGTTGAATTCCCTGGTGACAGAAATATGACAAGAACATTCACCTGAGCAAATCTTAGATTCTCCTTGACAACTTTGCCTGGACCAACAATGTCAGACTCTAAAATGTGCAAGAAGTTGATTTTGAACTGCTAACGGTCATAAGCATTGATTTTATTTTGAATTATAAATTATTCGTAGAATGTGAGATGCAAGAGATTGTCTCCATTCTGAAATTCATTATTCCATTGACAAACTTCACAAAACATTACAACAATGGGCAAGGCACTAATTGTTTTAATACTGCAGATGTGAACGTATTTTCAGGAATTGGCTTAGCACTTCTTAGTGACCCAGTTTTAAAGGAATGAGAATCCTATGTATATGCAGCTTTAATTTGATATTTAAAGCAAATATATAAAATCACAGTGCTTGTAAGGGTAGTGGTGCCCGAGGTTCTTAGGCACTTTGGGAGTGGTGAGTTGCAGTTAACATTGTACATCAAAACCATGAAAGTTGGGGGTATGGTACCACCAGCAGGTCAGTCTGTACCTGTGAGGCGAGTGCATCAGCAGCCTGATGGCACCGTCAGACTTTCATATACCCCAGAATTGCTGCTGTGCCTTTGGCCAGACCCCAAACACTTGGGGCAAAGTTTACCAAGAAAGTAAATGGCCAAAAGTTAGGTATGTGGGAGACACACCCACAAACCACGTTGGCTCATCTATATAATTGGAGGCATGGCCTCTCTGGTTCCTGATTGAACTGCTTAACGGCCATGATCCCAGAGACTCAAACGAATCTTGGAACCCAAAGGCTTTTGGCAGAAATGCATCCTGTTCCTGCAGTAGGTTACTGGTGCTGGGCCACTCCAGGTGGGAATAGGTTTCGTGCCTTGGCCTGTTCCGCCTGGTGGCCCGGTGACCCCCATCCTCCAGAGGACACTGGACAGTCAGGTTTCGGCCTGCAGTTAAAAGATACACGGGGCCTCACCAGATGGGGGTGGAACTGGCCCTTTCCTCCACATCCCAGTGAGACCCCAAGTCGCTGCCTACAAACAGCCTCTCTGGCTCCTGATCAAGCTGCTTAATGGCCATGATCCCAGAGACTCAGAAACAAATCTCGAAACCCAGCGGCTTTTGGCAAAAATGCATCTGGACCACATAAAAGGTGGTCACCACCTCAGAGCTTATTGGGAACCAAGGTATGAGCCAGCAGTGATGGGACAACTGCAGTCTCATGGGAATGGGGGCGGTACCAGCTCATCCTTCACACCCTATCGAGGTCACAAGTTGCCTCCCACAAGTGGCTCTCTGGCACAGCCATGACTCCAGAGGCAAAAGGACTTAGTCCAGAACCCAGCAGCTTGCAGCAGAAAAGTGAATGGACCATCTGTTAAACTAGGACGCCATGCCTCCCCAGGAGGGAAAGGGTGTTGCTCCCTTCTGCCTTTTTCCCCCAGCAGCAAGGTGGCTGCCGTCTCAGAGCTTATAGGAAAGCCAGGTATGAGCCGGCGGTGATGGGGCAACGGCAGTCTCATGGGAAGGGGAGCAGTATCAGCTTGTCCTTTACGCCCTACCAAGGTCACAAGTTGCCCCCCACGAGCAGCTGTCTGGCACAGCCATAACACCAGACGCACAGAAACCAATCTCGTAATTATCTGGCTCGTTGCAGAAATTCAAAATTGCGAGGCCGCTATTGTGGCCACGAGAGATTATATGATTCTCATAACCAGCTATAGAAAACAAAGTATTTCACAATGCCTTTTCAGCAATTCTGATTGGAGGGGGCGGAATTCTAAACAATAATGGTGCATCTTTTGTCAAAACAATGAATGTAATCAATGTAGAGAAGAGTTAAGTGGAAGTGCCTCACAGGCATTGGGAGGGGTGGGAGGGGGTACATTGGTGTTCTTGGTGGTGAAAAATGAATACTGGTGAAGGGAGAGGTGTTTGATCATTGTATGACCGAGACTTAAACCTGAAAGCTTAGCAACTTTTCCCACAGTGATTCAATAAATATAAGAAGAAAAAATAATAAATAAAATTATGGAAAAAAAAACCATGAAAGTTAACAATCATGTCATTTATACCATGATTTAAAAAAATAATATGATTAAAAAATGCTATGTTTAACTATCAGAAAAATAGTGGAGTATTGTGTGAGATTTTTTCTATTTAGAATTTTTCTTTCAGAAATCTAAGCCTTTTGATCCACTGTTTATAACAGAGAGAGAAACATTTAAAGGTGCCTTCAGAGTTTTGGTACACACCCAGATGTGTATATTACCCTCTTTATTGTAAAGCATGTGCTTTGGGCATTGCTTCCATATTTTTCATAGAAATTTATTTATGTAATCATAATCAACAGTATTTACTTAGTGGTTGCATGTTCCAGATACTGAAAATGTAATTCTGAATATGCTTAGACTGTAACCAGTAGGAAAGGAGACTGGCAGGTAAGCAAGTAGCTGCAGTTTTATGTTCAGTGATACTAATAAGAAACACAGAACTGCAGCTGAATGGACTTACAAATGATGAGGCACTTGTCTTACAGATAGCGGCCACAGTTTGTACCAAGGTAAATATGAGCTCAGCTTTCCCCCAATTCCACATGGTTAGCTCCTGGAAGAAAAGAGAATAGCAGGAGGAGAGATAGACTAGGGCTAAATCCTGAGAGGCATTTTGTACATTAAGATCGCTGAACTTTATGTTATGACACATAAGGCAGCACTAGTGACTTGTGTGTGCAATTAATTTTAGAATTGTGGGAAAATATGTATCATGAAATACATCCTTATAACCGTTTTTCCCCTTGCAGTTATGTAATTAAATGCATTCACAGTGCTGTGCAAACATCACCATTTATCTCCAGGACCTCGTTCGTCTTCCCAAACTGAAATTCTGACGCCTTCATTAAACACTAATCCCCCGTTCCTTCATCCTAACCATCCCCTGTACATGTCAAATAAGCTAAGTCTTCCACTATCTGGAAGGTGCCAACCAGAGTATTTTCCTATCCAGGAATATGACTACTCTAGGTATCACATGGAAGTGGAATTCTTTAGTATTTGTCTTTCAGTGACTTTCTGATCTCACTGAGTAAAACATCTCTAAAAATCA